GCCGAGCTGTTGCAGCGTCTGTGGCGGCGGCTGACGTTGACGTACGCGTCGACCCAGAGTATCCCCACAGGTGTTCAATAGGGTTTTCGTTGTTTTGTGAACATTTAGGTGCCGTGCAACAGTTCCAAAACTTTCTCCGGCTTGAACACGACCAATGGCGATATTTCGGTCGGCAGCACTCAATCGTGGCATTTTTCACACAGCTTTTCATGCGACAAATGAATGAATATAATACGAAAGCACATGGGCTTTTATACACCCCTACATTAACTGCCATTTTCATGATTTGCATGTGTTTTTTTTGTGCGAAGTCACCATGAGGGTCATTTCATGCGTTGTGACGGAATAAGCAATAAAATACACTTATGCGTACAAATGCAGTTGTTTGGATGGTAATCTTCATTAATTACGTGTATAATTTCAATACATTCGAATAACATTTAGTTTGGAAGCAATAACTTCATTCAAACGAAGTTTTCATATCTGAGGACAGGGGTTGCGTTTCTTTTTTGACAGAGTTTAGTTTGCTTTGTCCAAACGACTGACTGACTGAGTATGGTTTTACGCAGCTTTTAGCAATATTCCAGCAACATCACGGTGCGGGATACCAGAAATGGGCTTCACACATTGTACCCATGTGGGGATTCGAACCCGGGTCTTCGGCGTGACGAGCCAACGCTTTAACCACTAGGCTACCCCACCGCCCTTGACCAAACGTATTTTACTAGCATCCGTAACACAGTCAGTTTTGTTGACTGCGGCACCATTCATTCACTCCACTTTTTTCCAGATGACCCTCATTCATTTACACGAATGCCATCACAGTTCATGGGGACACGCAATCCTTACTTCCTAACACAAGTACAACAGGAGGCATTCAGCCAGTCGGATACAGACAAGTTCCGGGCTGTCTGTGCGCGGCGACAGCTTTATGATATATACACACAGAAAAAACAAACCCCATCAATCAATGTATGTGGGGGGTGCAGTGACAGCGCCCTGGCGGGTCAGGATTAAAACCTTCCTCCGTTGTTCGCGATTCTCGGCAGGTATGGTAACCGACATTCTAGACCCCAGCGATCAGGGCAGGTGCGCGGCAGGGGGTAGGGGTAATTAGAATGACGAAATGAAAATGAGACGTTTGTCAAACTAATTACCGTTTCATGTGCTCGGTAATAGGGTTCTTTGAACGTCCAACTATGTACCTGCGCCGTGCCCTATGACCGACTGAGGTCCACTTTCTGTTGAGGTGGGATAATAATGATTTAATGACAACATACTTCTGATATTGGTGGCGACATCTCTATCTGATAATGAATGATCGTTAGTCAATGGCAGCTGAGATTGTTGGGAATGTTTTGGTCCACACACACGCACGCACGCGCACTCGCGGACACACACATACGCACAAGCACCAACGTACACGCACATGTACAATACACGCACGCACACACATACAACTGGTACGTTAATATATATTACTGTTTAATGTATTAGAGGTGGGCACGAGCGGCCATGCCGTCATTGTGAAGAGGTGCGTTCCTTAGACAAACCAGAGACCTGTGTTTGTGGGTTCGAATCCTCAATTGTTTGTCAAGGTTTGTCGGCACCATTCCTGTGCTCGTGGGTGGGGCATCACTTCGGGCTTCCCTCCCAAATTAAACTGAGAGGCCGTGATGTAACTGGAATACTGTTTGTTAAAAACGGTGCTAAGCCAATCCTATTGATGCACTCAGGTAACTAGAGAGGCCATGAGGAACTGGATCGTCTCATGGCAGTGTCTTTAAAAGAGTTTCACAATCTTCGCTCTATTTGAGCTCAGTTCAAGGCGAGACGACACGGTCTTCTTCATTTTGTCATTGTAAATCTGAACGTTATTTTTCGTGCTGTGTGTGAAGTTGAGTGAGTTTAGTTTTACGCCGCTTTTAGAAATATTCCAGCAATATTACGGCTGGGGACACCAGAAATGGACTTCACACACTGTATCCTAGTCTAATTTTACCTATGTGGGGAATCGAACCGGGTCTTCGGCGTGACGAACGAACGCTTTAACCACTAGGCTACCCCACCGCCCCGTGTGAGGTGGCGCTCGGCATTAATGGGTACAACAAGGACTGGTCGGCTCGGAGTCAGTATAATGTGTCTGAGTGGGGTATTCATGCTTCACTGCGGCATGGTATCTCAGTGTACTATAAAACCAGCTTAAGTCTGGGCTAGTACAAGCAGCCGCACATACACATACACACGCATGCACGTCGTCATATGAGCGAAATATTCTCAAGCACGACGTTAAACCCAATTTCACCTCACCTCACCTCACCTCACCTCACCTTGAAACATCACATCTTATTAAGTAAGGTAGCCGTACATTTGGGATTGATCCAGATCGCAACACCTGACTTCGAGGATTCAGACACATTCTCAAACAGACACACCTATGTTTGACACTGTTCAGGGTCATATACCACTGTGTACATGTACAAAGTATGTAATGGGAAAGCCAGGTGTTTATGAAATAAATCCTGCAGCAAATTATAATAAATTCAGATATAATTCATTCCTATGTCATTATATATATTACAAACTGAGACATTCATTTTCATGTTGTAACAACATGGGCGGATCCAGGAATTTTGAAAAGGGGGTGTTCAGGGTGTTCGGACCCCTTGAACCCCCCATTTGGCTCCGCCAATGAACAAATATTATTCTAATGACTGAAGATATCTGTTGCAAAAAAGTCACTCATGTTGATGTTATAACGTACATATTACAGTCTTATATTAGTCTGTTGCAAAGAGAGGGGTTTATTATCATTATTTCATTATTTTATTTCGCCGCACTCAGCAATATTCCAGCTACATGGGGGCGGTCTGTAATAATCAAGTGATCAACAGCCTGAACATCGATCTGCGCAATTGGTAACCGATGACATGTGTCACCCAAGTCAGCAAGCCTGACCACCCGATCCCGTTAGTCACCTCTTACGACAAGCATGGGTTACTGAAGATCAATATTCTAGATCTAACCCGGTCCTTCACGGGTCTTTCATGGTATAACATATGTGTTACTGTTAGAACCCCTGATACCAACTGCAAGGTGATATTCACTTTCGTGTTACATACATCTTACACGTTATTGTATAACTCAACATTTGATATCTACTGAAAAGTAAAGGTTGTATGTTCATGCTGTCACAGATATATAGCAGTCTTGTATTACATCTCTAGTGTAAATATATCGCAACGTGAGCAAATATTCTATTTTTGTTACGATACGAATATGATGATGTTGAAAAGATTATTTCTTACGCTTTGTGTTCTTATATAGTAATTTTCCAAATTTGTTATATGAACATCCCAAAGTGAAGACAAAACGGTTACTTACATACAGTCATGTGGTCGGACCTATGACATTCAGATAGATCTCCTAATCACTCTTCGACTTGCAACATTCCAATTCAAAGTCGGTCTCTTTTCGTATGACCATTTTTTTCCAGCGTACAAAATAAACAAATTCTGGCAAATCTAGTTGTGTCCCATTGGGTCTGACATGAAAAGAAGAACATGAAACAGGGTCTAAAGGCTCAGCAGCAGCGTACTTGTATATTTTAACAAAACCTGCTCTTTATGTTTGTACCATAACGGCAGCTGAGTACCACGTCACCTTTTCCCGCCACAACGGGTTGTCGTCTGCTCGCAGTTGACAGAGGGGTGCAGGGTTGTTAGTAGGGGGCCGCGACGTCCGTGGGCGCGTGTCAGTGTATTCTGTGTGGTCAGAAGATCAAAGCTGTACAGCCACCTCTTATCTCCCACAAGCTGATACATTGTCGAGACACGCGCCATATTCGCTGGTGATGACAGCTTTAACTCATAGACTTGCTGGGGCCACTAGCTCATCATGCTTCGTAGCTTAAGTCTGTATTGACATATTTTAGTTTAACCTTTTCTCTTGTATGATTGGTTTCACGGAATTTCTTCTAGAAAAAAAACATTATCGGTGGTCGAAATACGAAAATAGACACTTTTATGTATCGTTTTGCTATTCATAGTGCGTGACAAACATTAACACCTGGAACATGTAATTCTCGTCAGGGTCACTTCGAAAAAATACGATAAGTTTCAAATTCGTGATCACCTTCTTTGAGTGGCATTATTAGAAGTTTAAGAGTAATATGGTACCTGCTTGACAACGATACATGAATCTGTATCGAAACGTCGCATCACTTGAATAAAGAAGTTGTTCATCCATAAAGTTTGTCCGTATAGCATGATTACCATCCTCAACTTTCATGTAAAAAGGTTTCAACTTGAATTATATTTCTGCCTAAATTCCTGTGTTATGTATACGTAAACATGAAAACAAGCGTACAATTTACAAGAAATCGTTTTCAGTACATCCTGCAGTAATTTACTCAGTTGTGCCTGAACATAGATCCGGGTCGTTTCACCAAGTCTGGTGCCCCGCCAAAGGAACACCAAGATAGTTGCACCAAATATGGTCACCTGTGTAAGAACAACCAGGTCAGTTTCACCAATTTTTTTACCCCACTGAAGAGCAATCAGCATAGTTTCTCTAGATCTGTTTTCCCACAAAACGACAAGCAGGTAAGGACTCCCTCGCCCCCATTGCTGTAACATGTCAGCGACACATCATTCCAGAATATATTCCTCAATTCTACCAGACAATTGTAATCTAGCGCATATCGGTCTGGGGTTCTTTGGAAAGGTTCCACCAGAGTTGGAATATTTCAGAATACAATAGGTATATCTCGGTCAGTTAGTCTTCCTCGCTGTATGAAGGATTGTAACCCTTGAAAACGTGGCTTTGTTAATTGTTAAGAATGTAAACATTTCAAGGTTGGCGTTTTGTTTCTCTTGGAAGTATTATTTATATCAGTCAGCAACCCGTTAACAACGAGCTCCCGTGTCTTGGTTGTTGGAGACCACTGGAGGTAGTTGGAGAAGTTGTTGTTGCTGAAGGTTCTTGGTGGGTGCTGAAGGTTATTGGTTGCTGGCGCCTGTTGGTACGTGCTTGAGGTTGTTGGAAGTTGTTGGCTGCTGGGGATGTTGTTGGTTGCTGGGGAAGTAGTTGGTTTCTAGCGGTTGTTGGTGGGTGCTGCTGGAGGTAGTGCTGGTAGTTGGGTTGTTGGTTGCTGGAGGTTGTTGGAGGGTGCTGGAGGTAGTTGGATGTTGGTTGCTGGAAGTTGTTGGAGGGTGCTGGAGGTAGTTGGAAGTTGTTGGTTGCTGGAGGTTGTTGGAGGGTGCTGGAGGTAGTTGGTTGCTGGAGGTTGTTGGAGATGCTGGAGATAGTTGGAAGTTGTTGGTTGCTGGAGGTTGTTGGAGGGTGCTGGAGGTAGTTGGTTGCTGGAGGTTGTTGGAGGGTGCTGGAGGTAGTTGGAAGTTGTTGGTTGCTGGAGGTTGTTGGAGGGTGCTGGAGGTAGTTGGTTGCTGGAGGTTGTTGGAGATGCTGGAGGTTGCTGTTGGTTGCTGGAGGTTGTTGGAGGGTGCTGGAGGTAGTTGGTTGCTGGAGGTTGTTGGAGGGTGCTGGAGGTAGTTGGAAGGTGTTGGTTGCTGACGGTTGTTGGTGGGTTGCTAGGTAGTTGGTTGCTGGAGGTTGTTGGTTGCTGGAGATAGTTTGAGTTGCTGGAGGTTGGATTGACTGCTGGAGGTAGTTGGAAGTTGTTGGTTGCTGACGGTTGTTGGTGGGTGCTGGAGGTAGTTGGTGAGTGCTGGAGGTTGTTGGAGATGCTGGAGATAGTTGGAAGTTGCTGGTTGCTGGAGATTGTTGTAGGGTGCTGGAGGTAGTTGGAAGTTGTTGGTTGCTGGCGGTTGTTGGTGGGTGCTGGAGGTAGTTGGAAGTTGTTGGTTGCTGGAGGTTGTTGGTGGGTGCTGGAGGTAGTTGGTTTGGCGGTTGTTGGAGGTGCTGGAGGTAGTTGGAAGTTGTTGGTTGCTGGCGGTTGTTGGTGGGTGCTGGAGGTAGTTGGTGAGCGCTTGTTGGAGGGTGCGCTGGAGTAGCTGGAAGTTGTTGGTTCCTGGAGGTTGTTGGAGGGTGCTGGACGTAGTTGGAAGTTGTTTGTTGCTGGAGGTTGTTGGTGGGTGCTGGAGGTAGTTGGTTGTTGGAGGTAGTTGTTGGTTGCTGGAGGTAGTTGGTGGGTGCTGGAGGTTGTTGGTGGGTGCTGGAGGTAGTTGGAAGTTGTTGGTTCCTGGCGGTTGTTGGTGGGTGCTGGAGGTAGTTGGAAGTTGTTGGTTGCTGGAGGTTGTTGGTGGGTGCTGGAGGTAGTTGAAGTTGTTGTTGGACGGTTGTTGGTGGGTGCTTAGTTGGTTGTTGGAGGTGCTGAGGTTAGTTGGTGCTGGAGGTTGTTGGTGGGTGCTGGAGGTAGTTGGAAGTTGTTGGTTCCTGGCGGTTGTTGGTGGGTGCTGGAGGTAGTTGGAAGTTGTTGGTTGCTGGAGGTTGTTGGTGGGTGCTGGAGGTAGTTGGTTGTTGGAGGTTGTTGGAGGTAGTTGGACGTTGTTAGTTCTTGAAGTGGCGGTTGTTCTGGCAGTTGGGTGCTGGAGGTAGTTGGAAGTTGTTTGTTGCTGGACGGTTGTTAGTGGTAGTTGGTTGCTTGAGGTTGTTGGAGTAGTTGGACGTTATTAGCTGGCGGTTGTTGGTGGGTGCTGGAGGTAGCTGGAAGTTGTTGGTTGCTGGAGGTTGTTGGTGGGTGCTGGAGGCAGTTGTTGGTTGGAGTGGAAGTTATTGGTGGAATAGCTGGAAGTTGTTGGTTAGTGCTGGAAGGTTGTTAGCTGGTTAGGTTGTTGGAGGGTGCTGGAGGTTTGACGTTGTTAGTTCCTGGCGGTTGTTGGTGGGCGCTGGAGGTAGTTGGAAGTTGTTTGTTGCTGACGGTTGTTGGTGGGTGCTGGAGGTAGTTGGTTGATGGAGGGTGCTGGAGGTAGTTGGACGTTGTTAGTTCCTGGCGGTTGTTGGTGGGTGCTGGAGGTAGTTGGAAGTTGTTTGTTGCTGACGGTTGTTGGTGGGTGCTTGAGGTAGTTGGTTGATGGAGGGTGCTGGAGGTAGTTGGACGTTGTTAGTTCCTGGCGGTTGTTGGTGGGTGCTGGAGGTAGTTGGAAGTTGTTTGTTGCTGACGGTTGTTGGTGGGTGCTTGAGGTAGTTGGAAGTTGTTGGTTGCTGGCGGTTGTTGGAGGGTGCTGGAGGTAGTTGTTGGTTGCTGACGGTTGTTGGTGGGTGCTGGAGGTAGTTGTTTGTTGCTGACGGTTGTTGGTGGGTGCTGGAGGTAGTTGGAATACTTGTTAGTTCGTCACAGTTATTCTGCATGGCAAAATACCCCTATGTTTTGTTTCACCTTCTGGCAGCCATTTTGTACTATATCTATTGGTGCATTGTATTCATTTCCGGTACTCCACTAAAGTATCCTTGATTAAAACTGGTTAAATATAGTCAAGCCTGGTTGCAAGAAATGTGGCAAACGTTGACAGACGTAGAGATATACGCGTGGGTTGCGACCAAAACTGGGATACGACCAGAACTGGGATAACTAATATGGAGAATTATACGTCTTACTGTCAACTATGTATTTAATCGACAAACAATTATTAAGATCAAAATCAGCTGCACAACTCGTGTCCTTTATTTGAACTACTGATCGCAAAAATGCCAATGGTAAAGCGCTCCATAGTCGATGTCCGCCATAATAGCTAAATATAGCAGCGCAGAAAATGTAGAAACGTGAAACTGAAACGAAATAATAGAATTCATTTTCATACGCTTTACTGTAATTACTCTACTAGCTTAAAAATAAGTGAGCGACCAATTAATGTTCATGGTTGTGGATGCTGAATTTAGGTGTCAGGTGTTTTTCATTCATTTTTATTCATAATGATTCATTCATTCCCAGAAATGGTTACTGTCCTCAACTTGAAATATGACTTTCTTGCAATATCTAATGATATTTTAAAAATATAGCTAATTATTCCTTTTAACAATATATGTTTATGCCCACAAACAGAACCAGAAAATATATGATGTGAATGGTATTGGATTTTGATTTTATAGTTTAATAATTCTGCTAATATGTGTAAAAAATATAGTAAGTTGTCTCTAAATATCGGCAAGCCTGGCCATTTTTGCACAGCGTTTTTATGTAATAATACAGTAAATATTTTTTTTAAAAAAGAACGGGGAATAAAAGAAAATTTAATTATGTCATAATTATTTTTAATGATGTTACATCCATTCTTGATGGGTATGTATGTATAATAATTCAAGTTTGTTTTGGGGATTTAAGTTATTTGTGTTATGCCATTTGTGAGAGTATATAAGAGATTGGTATGTTGCTTGGTCATACTTTTCAGAGAATATTTCTTATGAAATACTCGAAAAATATACAGGTTCATGTACACATTCATGACACTGTAAAAAGAGTGGTGATCTATTATTTATAATGGTAGGGTGTATTCAGTAACACGCCATCACACATAATACTATGCTGATAATGCTGAGTGAAAGGTCCAGTTAAAGTTCTCATCCCCAAATGTTCACATGGCCCCCTAAGCAGTTAGTGGCTCCTTATTTTTATAACATGTTTAGCCTCCAAGTAATGTTGTGTTAATATTACTGCTATTAGCATATAAGATTTGCCAGTAATGATCATTTATAGCTTTTCATCATTATTGTGTACATGGAAGCTGTTTGTAACAGACACCAGACATACAAGGCATAATTACTTCAGAATGAAAAAAAGTGGGAGTTTGCAGCCCCATCTCAGAAGGCTATAGTTATAACTTTGAAGAAAAAATGATGCGGTGTAGGAAATTATCCAAAAATGTTTCTTTAATGTTCCTTTGAAAATCCCCTTCCTGGTCAGCTTGATATAAATGGGAAATTCACTGAGCCCTTCATAGCAGCCTTGAACTTGTTATTCCATGCATTGTCATCAATAACATTATATTTGCTGAACTAATTAGCAGTTAGGAGTTGTCCCCCATCACAATTTGCTTGAAAGGGTCATCTGCTCATTGTGTTAGAAGGCCAAGCAGCTGAAGCTTCTTTTGATGACATATTGTTACTGAGGATGAAACTGTCAAGGTAAAATGATGCCTTCATATTTACTTTTGTGTGTAATTTTCCCCAGAAACCAATGCTACCCTGATGTGGATATGGTTGTCAGGCTCAATGACTTAGTCATTGTTTAGAATCAAGTCTGAATGATTGCATGTGTGGCTGGTTACTGATCCTCAATAACTGGATTGTCTGGTACAAACTCAGTTATTTACAGATATCATGTAGCTAGAATATTGTGTAGCAACAAACAACAAACAAGCAAAACAATTTTATGCCAGCTTTGGATTAGGAATTTTGTGTGATAAATGTAGTCAAGGAAATTAAAACATGCAATATTGCCCCAATTGCTTTTAGATTTTGCCCATAAGTATGAAGTATAAGAACCCAAAAGAAAATAATAAATTCCATTAAAATATAGATTTTAAACTTGTTCCACTTCAAATACATTTGGTTGAGGGAATATAAGTAATACTATTATTAAACAAATCTCTTAAAATTAGTACTGTCGATCATCCCAGTGTGCTCATAACATGGTAGTGTGATTTGCTATGAGCAGCCAAAATGAAATCAGAAGATTCCATTGATTGTAATTTTATGGTGTTATCCTCTTCTGGTTGAATCTGTATGTATTATACTAATATTGTACAGATTCTCTGAAAATAAGAGATATTGTCCTGTTCAAGATTCAGCCCACAATTTTTAAAATGTCAGATTATTCTGTTAGTATTAGACTTAGGAGACATTATCCCTCCTGGTCAAAGGCATACCAGGATTAAATCAAGTTAAATCTCTTAAAGTTGTACTAATTAATGGCCTATTTGTTTCCATAGTCTGCTTTCTACATGTTCTGAAATATGATCTACTATCATCATATTTTAAAGTTGTTTTCCTTTATCTAATTAAGGGCATATGAATAGTATAAAATAGTTATAAAAATCTCTAAACATTGGCAATATTGACCTGTTGCATGTAGACTCTGTTTCACAAGTTTCACTTATGACTAAATACTATCAACAGCCATGAGGAATCTTTTAGATTCGATAACTGTAATTTTCAACTTTACTCAAGCAGATATTGTCACAACAAGGAATAAGAACGCCATAATAACTCTTTACCAGATAGATATAACATGAACCTAATAAGTTTACACACTCACACCCATTCAGCTTGAGTCAAATAACTATCACCCCTTCAAGGGCATCACGCACAGCACACAGTTTTAGGGACACAAACCAAACATTGCACAATCACTGTTTCTCAAAATACTAAAGGTTACTGCACGCAAATCACTAATACATTAATAGGTGTGCTAATTAAATCAACCCCTTCTCATACAATACATTCAACTGTAGATTTTAAGGCATATTCCCACACTTGGTTAAGGACATGTGAGTATCATTATTACTATTTCATTATTAATGCTATAACTATTATTTCATTCAGAATTTGTTGACAAGTTGGAATTGTTACTTACTACCACTATAAGCTCCAGAGGAAATCTTGAAATTCCATAAACTGTAAGTTTTAAAGGCTTTATCCCACTTCTGGTCAAAGGGCATATGATTCATGATAATAGTTAAAAATCTCTGAAAATAAGAACTATTGACCAAGTACATTCATAATTTGCTCACAGGTTTGAAATGCTATTCAATATCATCAGCCAATGAAAAAATTTTGAAATTGTATAAACTGTAGGTTTTAAAGGCATTATCCCATTTCTGGTCAAATGCATATGGATTAATAATAATAGTTAAAAATCTCTGAAAAATTTGAATTATTGACCCAGTACATTAATAGTTGATTTGTAGGTTTGAAATGCTATTTACTATCATCAGCCAAGATACAGCTTCTTGAAATTCCATAAACTGTGGGTTTTCAAAGGCATTATCCCACTTCTGGTCAAAGGCACGTGATTAATAATAATAGTTAAAAAATCTCTGTAAAATAGAATTATAGACCTAGTACATTCATAATTTGCTCAGAGGTTTGTAATGCTAATCTATATCATCAGCCCAGACAGCTTCTGAAATTCCATAAACTGTAGGTTTTAAAGGCATTATCCCACTTCTGGTCAAAGGCACGTGGTTAATAATAATAGTTAAAAATCTCTAAACATTTGTATTATAGACCCAGTACATTAATAGTTTATTTGTAGGTTTGAAATGCTATTTCCTTCCTCAGCCAAGAAAACTTCTTGAAATTCCCTAAACTGTAGGTTTTAAAGACATTGTCCCATTTCTGGTCAAATGCATGTGATTAATAATAATAGTTAAAAATTAAGAATTTCAGCTTAGTGTATTTCCATTTCTTACATGTATATCTGCACATGGCAACTTTGAAATATAATGAAGATATGGCATCTGCAAAGCTTTAAAAGTCATTTTTCAGTCATTCCTCCATGTACACTCTTTCCAGTTACAGAGTTAGATATTAACATAAGCCTTCTTGCCCTTCTGCCCCTCTGTATCAAAAACTCAATACAGTCACAAACACTTGGGATGGACTCCATTTCTGAACTTTCATTGTTGAGATGCTTGTAATTCAAGTTCTTGAATTTCTCAATCAGAAAATGACATGCTTCTTTCACTGCTTCGTACAAAGTGTGGTGTGGTGTTGTACTGTGAAGAAAAACAGAAAGACATAATCAATGTACCATGTTTGCATTAACTAACTACATCAAAAACATTCAAGAAAATGGCCACCAACATACTTAAGACCATGGAAAGTACTTTGAATAACTTGGAATGGCAGTTGCCAACTGAGTGGATTGAACAAGAGCGGAGTGGAGAGGAGTGGGTGGTGCAAGTGAAATGAGAGAGTGGATGGATGGGTTGGGAATGAGTGAGTGAGAGAAGTGGAGTTGACTTGAGAGGAGTGGGTGGTGTGGAGGGAAGAGGGTCTAGTGAGAGTAGCATAGTGGGGGGAGTGACTACAGCGGAGGAGTCGAGTGAGGGAAGAGGGTGTGGTGAGAGTAGTGTAGTGGGTTGAGGACTGGAGCGGAGAGGAGTCGAGTGAGGGAAGAGGGTCTAGTGAGAGTAGTGTAGTGGGTGGAGGACTGGAGCGGAGGAGTCGAGCGAGGGAAGCAGTGAGAGAGAGTGTAGTGGGTGGAGGAGGAGCGGGAGTGAGTCGAGCGAGGGAAGAGGGTGTAGTGAGAGTAGTGTAGTGGGTGGAGTGGACTGGAGTGGGAGTGAGTCGAGCGAGGGAAGA